TTGGGATAATTGGCCAACTGTTAGGAAGGGGGGACAATCCTAACATACACTCTGTAAAAATAGCGTGCTTGCTACAAAAACGCAGCTTCAAGATGCAGTCCTAGCTGCCATGAGCCTACCTCCCTATTCCAACCAGCCAGCTAAACTTTAACTTCTCCCAAATAGGAAGTCTGGAGCTGCCCCAAGATATAGGGGGTAAGCAAGACAGACTTGGTGCCCTCCTTTCTGAGTTCAGCCTTGTTGCTGGGGAGGAGCATCAAGTAACCAGGTGCTGATGACCAACAAGATGGGTACCCTGATGGGGCAAGTCAGGATGGTGGAGTACAGAAAAGTCCCCTGATCCAGGTCAGGAGAGGCTTCCCCTGGGAAGCCACACAGTAAGTGCCCCATAAATACGTGCTGAAGAACTGCATGAATTGGCAACTAAGCAGAGACCTGAAGCATGAGATGGAGAGAGCCAGGCTGGCCCAGGACAGGGAAGAATTTCAGGCAGAGGGAATGGCAAATGCCCCGAGGCTGTTGAGAACGTGGTTGGTTTGGGGAACTGAAGCTGAAGCTCAATCGGCCTGCCTGGGTGAGTCGGCTTCCTGAACCTGCTGCTTTCCTGCTGGAATTGCAGATTCCGGCCTAGAAGGGGCCTTGGAGACCTCCTAGTGCCTTCTTCCCACCTCTCAGCTGCTGACCAGGGCTGGCAGCATTGGCTCCCCTAGGAGCCTCTTGAGCATAGAACCTGGCTCCCTCTCCCTGAGGGCAGGCCAGTAAGCTGGGGATCCAGATATCTGCCTCACTGACAAGCTCTGTAAGTCCCTGATATGCTCCCAGGCTTGGGAACCATGGGCTTGGTGTAGCCTTACATGGAATGCTCCAGAATATACAGGACCAGAGAGGGCAAGAGCTTGCCTGAGACCACATGCGGGAGCCTGGGCTTCCAACTGTTTGGGCTGAGAGGTTCCTTCGCTAGAGCAACCCCTGCCTGTAGGCCCTTTCCTACGCCCTCTTTTCTTGCTTGGGGGGTGGGAGTGGGGTACAAGACCTGCCTAATAGCTCTGCGCAGGCAAGGGAACAGCATTTCTGAGCTGAACCAGGAGGCTGGGGCCTGGTGGGACTGCTGTTATTGTTGTTAGGTGTCCTCGAGTCAATTTCAACCCATAGTGACCTCATGTGACAGAGCAGAATTGCTCCACAGGGTTTTCTTGGCTATAATCTTTACTAGTGCAGATCACCAGGTCTTTTTCCTTCGGAGCTGCTGGGTGGTTTCGAATCATCAACCTTTTGGTTAGAAGCTGAGTGCTTAACTGTTGTGCAACCAGGGCTCCTCTAGTGGGACTAAAAAATAAAAATAAAAAAACAAACTCGCCGTTGTGTCAATTCTGACTCATAGCGACCCTATAGAACAGAGTAGAACTGCCCCATAGAGTTTCTAAGGAGCAGCTGGTGGATTTGAACTTCTGACCTTTTGGTTAGCAGGTGAACTCTTAACCACTGCATCACCAGGGCTCCCTAGTGGGACTAGGAGGGGCTTAAGGAAACAGGCTTTCTCATTTGCCCCCCACCATTCAGGCAGCCATGGGAGGGGATGGCAGGGGAGAAGGAGGAAGCTTAGTTTCCAATTAAGCCCAGTCTCTTCTGTGTCTCCTCGCCTCCCTTTTAACACCCCAAGGCGTCCCCAAGGCATTTTAAGCTACCACCCTGCTGAGGAGGCCGGGACTGCTGCCAGGGCCTGCCAAGCATAATGGGCTTAGGCCTGTGAGGGGCCATAGCCAACCTAGCCTTTCCCTCCTTCCTATTGCAGATTCTCAGTCCTCCAGTCTCCTCAGAAGCACAGGGGAGCATCCTGTCCACTACATCAACCTCTGGGGCTCTGAGTGGAATCCAGACTGTCTTCCATGGGACTTTTCCCCAGCTCCCACTTCCTAATCCAAAGTGCCAGGCTGAGGGACAGGGAGCAGGGTCTGGTGTCAGCTTTAGCTGTGGCCCCCAGACTCAGGAATGAGTGGTCAGGACCCTGCACTGACTAAAGTCTGCAGGAAACAGTAATTACCATTTTAGGTTAAGGCAGCCTGGGTTTGTTAACCCCTGCAGCACTTAGGATCCTGGAGGCCAAGCCCTCTTCCCCCTTCTCTCCTTCTTCCTCCAGGCCTCCCCTCCCAGATACCATTCCCCAGTTCCTGGAAGAGTGAGCAAACCCCACTTGCTGTCCCCTCTTCCCCCTTCCCACCATACACTCAAATGGAGCTCAGAGAGTGGGAGCAACGTGTCTGAGGTCACACAGCCAAGGAGGCAGCCTCCGCTCCTGGAGACCTAAGCCCACCCTAGTCCCTGCTTCTTCCGCCTTCACAATCTTCCCAGGCCACATTCACACATGCAGAGTTTAATTAACTTTATTGATTTTCAGAAATTAGGAGAATGACTAAAGGTAATTGCTCATTAAAAATCATTAAACTGATACAGCAGGCACTGGCACTGTGGCCGCCCCTCCTGCCCTGCTTTCTTCACCCCCCCAGTGGCAGGGCCTGCCTAGGAGGGGCCCTCAGGTTTGGGGGATGCCAGGTGGCGCACGGTGCCCGTTGCACCAGAGGCTGATGAGCTCAGGTGATTGCAGGGCACATAGGGGACAGCCAGCAGGGTCAGGCCAGGCCCAACGCCATCTCGCCCTCACCCTGCAGCCTCTGGCTTCCCAGCCTCTTGTGGCTTTAGGACCTCACCCGGCTGCATTCTATTGTCTGCATCTTTCGTTCTGTGGCCTGCTCCTCCCTACCACGGCCTGCATGTGAGCAGAGCCCCAAGGACCGTGTCGTGAGGCCTCAAGACTGCAGGACGCACACCCGGCCTCAGAGGCCCACAGTCCAAGGCCTTTGCTCCTCAAAGCTTGCCTTCTTGAGGCTGAAGCCTCCAGGAACTAGGAGATGCTGAGTGTCCCTCTAAGCCACGCTGGGGAGGGCACGCCCTAGCCAGTCCCAGCAGGCCTGGCTCCAAGGTCCCAGCCCTCTCACCTGTCCTGGTCCTGACCTGGCCCTGTGGGGCCTCTTCCTCTCCCTTGGGGAGTGGACAATCCTTGAGATTGTCCCCAGCAGGTGTGCCTCTACCCCACAAACCCTTGGGCAGGTGTTTCCACTGGCACTGGAGAAGTTCAAGTCCCAGTGCATCAGGGAGGGACACTGGCCAGGGACACACAGACTTGGGGCCACAGAATGGACAGATTATTTTCAACACCCACACCTCCAGGAGGGCTCCTGCACTCTCAAACTCAAGGCCACAGCAGCCTTCATCCTGGAGACCGGCAGTCTCATTCCAGCTTTGCAGGGAGCTCTCTCCCAGTGGCTGCACCACGCACTAGTGGCCTCACACACCGGTCACACCCGCTCACTGCTGAGCCCTCACCCAACATCCAGACCTCTGAAGTGCAGACACACTCAGATCACTATTCCACACACACAAGACCTTGATCTTACTCACACTCAGACCCACACACCCACACAGGGGGCGTCAGACTACACCCAGCAAAACACACACAGGGCCAAGGGAGCTGTCCAGCCCAACGCGAAATACCCTTGGACAGCTGAGCAGAGAAGGCCGGCTTCTCCCTCTGCACCCCCTTTGACGGGGCTTTGCGGAATCTTACCGCCCCCCTCCCCAACAGAAACACACAATGTTCCCTGCGATGTCTGAGGACCCGGTGTGTGCAGCCAGGGAGCGGGGTGAGGACACTGGGCAGTATGGGGATAGAGCCAGAGGCCCAGAGAGGGGCTTTCGTGTGACTGGGGGCACAGATCGAAACTGCCATCCAGGGGCCCAGCCTCGCCCCGGTCCGATGCGGCCTGGAAGGATCCAGCAAGGTTAGAAATTCCCACCTTTTCCTCCCTCCACATCAGGTGCTAGGAACCATACGGCAAGGTTCGGCGGGTCCCAACTCCAAGCGCAGCCCGGGCGACCCCACCAACCAACCGGAAGCGGCGAGAGAATACCCGTGCATCAGTAGCTTTGATGAGAGCTTAGATGAGTGGGGACGGCAGGTCCGGAGGGGACTTGGAAACCTTCCTTCTCCTACCCTCTCTCCAACACCCCCTTGCTGCCCACTCCATGGCAAAGCTTCCCTCCACTGGGGATGATGAAATTGGGGCCAGGCTTTGAGCGGTGTTCTGGGGGCCGCAGAATGCGGGGGTGGTCCCCTCACGACGAGTATGCGACCGTGGGATGGGCAGGGGCCGGTAAGGCCGGTAGAACCGCAGGCCTGGACGGAGGCAGAGCTGGGGTATATGTCCGGATCGGTGGGAGGGTGGGTTCACCGAAAGGGCTTCATGGAGGACAGAATCCCCGTTCTGGACCTCGGTAGCTGCAGCCCAGAGAAGAACGAGGAGCCAGATGGGGCCCCGGGCTCCCAGACTTTCTCCCTAGAATTGTGCTCTAAGCTCCAACCCCGGTGTGGCAGCGCCAAGGCGGAGGAACGTGAGCGACGTTCCAAAGCCAGGTCCGGCGGCCAACCCGCTCAGTCCCTCCGCAGTGAGGACGCGAGACGTCCCTGAACAGGCGTCAAAGTCGAGCGAAGTTTGGCAGGCGGCAGGGGAGGCGGGCCGGCGGGCCACCAGCCTGACCGTCCCACTCACCGCCCTGCGCCCCCTCCCCCCTCACGCGCCCCTGCGTCCCCGACGCCTGGAGTGTGGCGAGGTAGCGCGCGGGTGAGCGCGTGAGTGTGTGTGCGGGGCGGGGGTGGCGTGATGAATTGCAGCAGAGAAATCCCATTAGATCTGGGGAGATGATTAAAGGCGAGGTCTCGGCAGGGCGCGAATGGCGGGAGCCGCGGAAGCTTCCCGCCCGCGGAGCCCGGGCCCCGCCCGGCTTGGCCGGCGCCGGGGTCAGCGCAGCCCGCGGGGCGCGGGGCGCGGTGCTTAGGCGGCTGGACGCCCGGACCTGGGCGCCAGGACCGTCCCCCACCCCTAGCACACTCCTCCTGGGACCCCGCCCCCGCCCCAGTCCTGCCGCCGGACGCCGGCGTCCCTTACCTTGAGCCAGGAGTGCCAGTAGCGAGGGCAGGAGCAGCAGGGCTGCCGGGCGCATGGTACCGGCTGCGGACGCGCCCGAGCCGGGGCCGCGGCGGGAGGGCTGGGGACTCGGCGGGGCGTGGGCGCGGGGGCAGAGCCGGGTCCGGCCGGGGAGAGGCAGCGGGGCCACCGCCGCCGCCAGAGCCTGACAGAATCAGCACCACGGCCAGCGCCTGGCGTCGGCGCCCGGGAGAGCCGCGAGGGGCTGGGGGCGGGGGCGCGGGAGGAGCGGTTTACCGTAAAGTCTCAAGCAAAGGCGCAGAATACCCAGCGGCAAGAGCACAGACTCCCGCGCCGCTGCCAGCTCAGGGGAGGGACTGCCCTACTAATGTGGGCACAGGGCCCCTGCCCCTCGGCGCTGCCCACCTCCAGCCAAGCTCGCCACCCTCTTCCCCATTAGCAGCCTTCCCAAAGATGTGGGGTCCTAACGCGATTCTCCGTGAAGGGAAAAGAGCCCAGCAACCCCCTCCCCACCTCTTCCCACCCCGTCCTGGTACCTGAGGGCTAAAAGGGTGACCTGGGAAGACGTCTGCCTGCGAGTGAAGCAGCTGGTGAGGCCTGTGTGCCCTTGTGGCAGCTCTGTCCTGGGCCGATAATGAAGACGGCTTTTGAATGTACAAAGGACAATAAATTATTACTTTGTGCTCAGTAAATGCCAGGGCTCCAGGCAGCTGCATCAGCAGCAAACTGTGCTCACAGAAAAGCTTAATTATCCTGATATTATAGTTAAAAGCCAGTGGTAAAAGCCAGTGGCACTCGTGTCCTGGGTAGACACTCTTCATTTGGCAAGAGGCAACCTGGGCCAAGCTGTGGGCAGTAGAAGGTGGTATCCTGGGTCCCCATGCAGCTCTGGATCTCCAGGACTCTGACTTGGCCCCTCTGAAGGATCAGAGAAGGCACAGTGCTAGCCAGTCAGCACAGACACTTATTGCCAGTCCCTGACCAGGTTCCTGTAGCTGAGTGAGAAAACAAGACAGGCACTGGGGAGGGGATAGCTCTAAGGCTATTTTAGACAGACTTCAAGAAGGTCCTAGGGTGTAGCCAGGGAGGCGCTACCACTCACTGGTATGGAAAAACAAGCTTCCAAGGATCTGCTTGGGCTGAGGAGTCCAGTGAGCTACAGGGCAACAAAGGGGGTGGGGGGGTACAGGCACAGCAGCGCTATTCTTGAGCCTGATGGTTTAGACCCAGAGGTTATGGCTCTACGGACATGACGGGACATGATCCTGTGGCTGATGCTATTGTTCTCTGTAGAGGAAGATGAGAGTTGAGTTCCCTGTGGTCCCAGAGAGAAGGGTAACTTTGTGTTTAGTTCTTTTCACATGAACTTGGCTCCTCCTCAAAGCCTCCAGAGTCCAGTCATTGTCCAATGCTGTCCCTGACCCCAGCCTGGAAGCAGGTGGCAAGACTTCTGCTATAAGTCTCATTCCTCAGAGAGTCTTATGGTCCTTACAACCCCCGCAGTCTTCAGCTTTGCTCATTGGATTCTCTCCATATCCTCTTTCTGTGGGCTCTAGGGAGCCCCCTTGACCGCTGTAAAGAATCCCAGGCAGCAGGCAGGTGGCGTGTGGAATTAGCTGAGGGAGAAGCTAGGAGAGGATTTCTGGACAGTCATTTCGAGAAGCTGAGAAAAAAAGAGGGCAGTAGCAGAAGGATGGCGGGGGGGGGGGGTGGTGATGAGAGGATCAGAAGTGAGAAGAGAAAGCCAAGAAAGAAGGTACATAGGGGAATGGCTAACAAATGAGGAGAAAAGGAACAGAGGCGGAAGGTTTGTGGCTGAAGGAAGCTTGGGGACATATTGGCAAATGTCATGACATTCCCTCTTTCCCCCTTGAGGATATTCCTGAGCACTCGCTGACAACTGGGAAGCTTGAGCAGAGGAAGGTGAGTCATGACCCAGGGGTGAACCTTATGTGCCAGGATGATTCACGGGGGTTTGGAAGCTGGTGGCAGGCTTGTTTGACTCTCTTGGCAGCTGGGCTCCTTGACAAGCTGGGCACCACCCACAGGAAAGAGGCTGAGATAAGCCACCCAGGGATATGCCACATTCCACTCCTTGCTGCCTGAACCAAGCATTCACAAGGGTGTCCAATGGAGACTACAAGTCCCAGAATGCAGCACTCTGCCCTGAGCTCAGAGGATGGGTTTATACTGCCTGATGGGAGTAGTAATGCACCTGGGTTGCCCCTCTCTCCTGAAGATGGTCAACATGGCCTCTATGCAATGGGTTCCCAGTTAGGTTGAGGCACAGCCTTGGTCAAACTGGGAAGCAGTGGAGTTTCTGTCAAGCATCTTTACCTTCCCCTGTCTCATGCCCTCCAAGGGGCCCATTCTGCCCAGACCTCAATAACATCCATGAATTTTAGATGATGAGATGCCCTTGGGGACATTCAGCTCTATAGACAGGGCTTGCAGGCTTATAGTGTATACAAGTCTTAGTCACATTTGAAAGGACAGCCTGAGGGGACTTGCAAGGCTCCCCTCACTGGGCTTACTTCTCCCATTCTCTATCTCCTGCCTGGCTCTTTGCCCCCAGACGACCCTGGGTTTCCCCTGTCTATGTAATTGTTTAATTATCTGTCTTTTCTACTGGATTGTCAATCCTGTGAAGCCACAGACCTTGTCAGTCTCGCCCACCCCCGGTGCCCAGCACATAGTCGATGCTCAATAAATGTTAGTGAATAAATGGGGAGGGGAAAAGTATCTAAAGCCCAAGGCAGGTCATTCATGCCTAATGAGTGCTGTGAGATAATAGAGAAGGGGGAAATTGCTTCTTTTGGGGATAAGGGAAGGTCAGTGAAGGCCTCACACAGCAGAAGGGTGGGCTGAAGCCAAGTCTTAAATATGTTTTAGGTTTTAGTCAATGGAGAGGAAGAAGGAGGCCATGCAAAGTCAGGGGGTTGGGGAGGTGCAGGGGGTGGCTTATGCAAAGGCAAAGTGGTGGTAAAATGCAGGATAGCCTGGAATCGGTGAGGAGCCCCATTCTGGTGGAGCATAGTCCCTGGAGGGAAGTAGGAGGAAGCGTTGGAGTAGTAGGCTGTGGCCAGGCTGTGAGAGGCTTTGTGGTCATCTAATGAGCCCTGGGAGCCTTGGTGGCACAGTGGTTAAGAGCTATGGCTGCTAACCAAAAGGTCAGCAGTTCAAATCCACCAGCTGTTCCTTGGAAATCCTAAGGGGCAGTTCTACTCTGTCCTATAAGGTCGCTATGAGTCGGAATCAACTCGGCGTCAACGGGTTTTTAAGGAGCCCTGGTGGTGCAAATGGCTAAGCAGTTCGAACTCACTCAGCTGCTCTGCATCTCAGCCAAAAAAAAAAAAAAGAAAGAAACCCCTATGGGGCAGTTCTACTCTGTCACATGGGATCACTATGAGTCAAAATCGACCTGATGGCACCTAACAACAACAAAGCCACAGGACATCCTTGGTGGTTACACTGAAGGGGATATGCCATCCCAAAGATATTTGCACCAAAACAGGGGAGTCTGGAATCATTAAGGTGGGTTTTCAAGCACCATGACAAGTGGTAGGAGCTGAGGGGTTCACTGTTGACTCAGAGGAGGAGTCTGAGCTACAATCGCTGGATTAAGACTGAGAGTCAGAGAGAGGAGCTAAAGGGCTCAAAACAGCCTCTCCAATCCCACAGACCTTCACAGCCTCTCCCCAGACAGTGCCAGACATTCCTGGGAAAGGCAGCCTCACTTCCCCACTTCCACACAGCCTATTAATTTGTGGGATCACATGCACATTGGTGACTTATTTTGAAGTCTCTTCCAGGATGACACTTGCTTTCTCAGCAAGAGGAGGAGAAAATTATCCTCCTTCAAGATAGACAGCTTTCTAACCAGAGCTACATCTTCTATGGAGCCAAAGGGGTTTGGGGACACAGAGGCAGGGGCTTCCCCCTCATTCCAGAGGCTCCTGGGGGGCAGAGCACTGCCTGCTCACCTCACCCCACTCCTTGGAGGGGGCTCCTAGTCCTTGCAGTGTTTGGAACAGACAGGGATGCCAGGGCTCCAGCCAGGTTTCTGGGATTACTCAAAGCAACCCTTTGAATGCGGGGGCAGAAGGAGGGCTCTGCCCAGGTAAATGGGGAGTGCTAGTTCTTGGGCATTTGCTCCCGGTCCAGGAACAGGACCAGACCAGCTCTAGCAAGGGCCTGGGTAGGATGGAGACAGCAGCAGAAAGTGGTTTGATGTGGGCTGTTTTCAGTCTCCAGACTGAGGCCTCCAGCCTGCCCACCACCCCCAGCCGAGGCCTTTGATCCTCTACAGCTCCATCAATGTTTAATGCTACTGGCTGGGCAGAAATAAGGCAGGTGTTGGAACAGGGAGATTGGGATGCGACTTAAGATCTACGATATTGGCTAGATTATTTTCACGTAGGGAGCCCTAGGATGGGTGGGAGGAGGCCTCCCCACCTCCATGTGGTGAGAGAAGTCCCAGGGTTCAAGTTTGTGGCACTAATAAAGGACACTCTTTGAAAACCCACTAAGGCACTGAAAATAAAATGAGTAATCAATTGCAAAAGCCCAATCCCTGGTTTGATTGAAGGAGAAAGATGGAAAGTTAAATGACAATCAAATGCAAATATAGCTCAACAAACACCACAGCAATTACCAGGCGCAGGAACCACATGGTGTTTGCAGGCAGCGGGGGGGTTGGCAATTTGGAAGCCTGGGCTTGTGCAGAGGTGATGGGCGTGGGGCCATTTTAATGGACAGTTAAATAGATGCAAAAAAAACTCTGCACCTACTTTGCATATGCTGCTGATGAGTGGGGAACTGGAATCCAGACATCCAGAGGGAGGTAATGCCACCTTCTGTAGCTGTCCCTGCACTATTTTGGAACGAAAGAGGCCCTGAGTGCTGGGCAGGGGCGGATTATCCAATAGGCAAGGTAAACATGGTGATTACCTTGCTTACCAGACTATCTGTAGTGAACAATTTCACATTTTTTCACCACATCAAAGATTCTGCTTCTAGGTATGGCTAGAATCCATCTCTCTCCCAACCCCACAGCACTTTCCTATAGAATCAAAGCCTCTTTTCAAATTTATGATCACTGACAGGAACGGACGTGGTAAGGAAGTAAGTATAAGTAAGCCCATGCTTACCTTGCTTATTGGGTAACCTGCCCCTGGCTGGGACCTTGAGGGGCCCTCACTAGTTTCATTGGATTTTTCACACTAGCTTGT